TCATGGGGAGAGATAGAAATTTGCACCAAGGGGGAGAGCGACAGTGAAAAATATAAGGAGGGGAGTGAGGGTGGGGGAGTGATTATCGCCCCTTCTCACCCCCTCTCACTACCGTCGACTCTAATTCGAAATTAAACGTGGACAGTCGAATAAACAATCGCGCGCATCGCGCGCTTCTTAACGTTAACTCGCCCTAATAAGACGCTTGCTATTGTAGGCTAGCAAAAGTCCAGCGGTAGCTGTGCGAAAAACGTATCGTCACAAGACTTCCAGATCCACGTTTGTTTAATTTATTATTGACGGAGGAGTAAAAAAGCGAGGAAGGGGTCGGGTCGGGTAAATGACCACAACAGCCAGACCAATTAAGTACCGGTGATTATCATATAACCCGTCCGGCCCCGCTCACACAATCCTATAGAAAACAATAGTAAAAGCTAATGTGAGTAGGGCCGGGCAGGTTGACGTGAGCCGGTTCGGAAAAAGCCGTTCAGCCCTAGTGCACTTGTACGCCTTCGATGCGAAAAAAAAACAAAAAAAAAATCCCAACATTGTTCGCTGTTGTTACAAAAAATCGAGTGACAGCCGTGAGCACAGTGAAAGTGAGTTTTATTATCCGGATGAACTGTCTGATATTGAACTTTTGGAACAAGCGAACAGTCTCGAGAAGAAAATTCTCTTCCATGAAAATATAAACAAATTTATCGAAGGGAAAAAACAAGAGAACACTGTGAAGAAAATATTCTTATTGACTGAGTTTGCTCGGGCCGGACGAGATGATATTTGGTTCGTGGTCATAGTGTACTTACCTCGCTACGCTCGGTCCGTGCCTCATGACCGAGAGCCAAGTACTTTCTCGTCCGGCCCGACCAAACTCAGTCATTGAGCATTTTATCATGTGACCACTAAGTGTTGAAAATGTCAACCTAAATAGGACACGATAGACGGGTACACGCAGCCACACGAGCACAAAAAAGTTGTGGAATAATTTTTTTTCCTTTATTTTTTCGTCCGGCACTCCCACTCAGTCAATAAGCGCATATTACTTTATTATTCTCTCAGTTGGTGTGTGCACCATGATTAATAAATAGAGCAGGCCATATTTTACGGTGTGCTCCACTAAATTCAATTTTTTTTAAAATCTTTCCCCTCTCTCGGTCAGAGCCTAGGGATATTAAGAATAAATTTATTATTATTAGTAACCTTGTTTTCACAGTCCCTACTGTGAGTTACAAAACCTTGTTTTTCTACTCTGATTCATGGTCCTTGTACTGCGTAGATAAATCCATGCAGGAAAGAATCATGAGTCCGTAACTTAAAGCTGGTACAGAACTCAAATCTTAGAAAGAGGCATTTGTAAATTTACCCTTTGGTCGGTACCAAGTACTGGTTTATAAACAGGATTTGTCATGGTAGCACTGGACTGAGCTATTTTTCTAAGACTTTATAATAAGTTCGATGTAAATATGAATAAAAATTATTTAAAGTGTTGTTTTATTCCCCATTATTTTCTACTTAGTGAAAAATTAGATGAATTGATGTACATAGAGAATTAAGCAAAGATATTGAGGTTTAGATGTCCCTCGTCCTTTTCAATCTCTTTTTTCTTTCTTTCAATTCCACGTTCTACTATTATTCCTGCCTTGGAAGTGTACGTGATACTAACGTAATAATCAGGCAACACGAAAAAGTAAAGTGTGCAAAATACTAACGTAACGCTCGGAGAGGAAGAAGAAACTAAAAATATGAACTGTGCAGCTTTTTTTAGCATAGCAATCGGACACAAAGGAAAACTAAAAATGTGAGATACTACCTAACGTAACATTTGAAAACAAGAAAAACTATGTATCCAAGATGCTGACGTGACAATCGGACACAAAGGGAAAGTAAGCGGTAATATTGTAAAAATTGTATCACTAACAGGGAAAACTAAAATTGCAACAGACACTGATGTAATAATTGGGCAACAGGGAAAACTAAAATGCTAAGATACTTAACAATCGGGCATAAAGGTAGATGATAGATAGTTTAATAACATAGATAAATCGCAGCCACAAAGGCTGAATTGAATACTATTTACAATATGGTCATTTACAATACAAAGGTCTATTTGTAAAGTGATGGGTAAAATTATATATTCGATACCAGCGATTGTCATTAATAAAGGCTGATAGTTTCTAAAGAAACTGTTTGGGGCTGCGTCGGTGGGGGTAACGAAATAATTTGGATATATCAATAAAGTTGAAATGGTAAATTGGCCACCGTAACGATTACAAAAGCTGACGTTTCGAGCGTTAGCCCTTCGTCGGAGCGAATAGAGGAATTGTGGGTTGTGTGTGCTTTTAAAGGCAGAAAATGGAGCTACGTTATTGGTGGGAACATGGCAACGAGAAAAACACGAATAAATTAGTGGAATGAAAAGCGTTCGTTGATCCCTGTGGGATTTAGACTGCCGGTTTGAAAGATGAGCTTTTGTTCAAGAGTTTTACGGCTTTCCGTGCTACCTAAGTGTAAGGAAAGACCGCAGATTGCCATATGTTGCTTAGAATGATTAGGTAAATTAAAATGTCTAGCGACTGGTTTCGATGTGTCCTTGTCATTC